TGCGTGGAAGAAGCAGAAGCCAGCGTCATGGCGTGGCACAAGCTAGCCTGCTGGTCCCCGTGACTGGGAGTGTGAGTGAGAGAAAGAGAGAGAGAGTGAGAGAGAGAGACTGCGCGTTAGTGTGTTTTCACACATTCGGCTCCTGCTGTCGCTCTCATCGCTGTGGTTGTGTGTGTGCACACGCAAGTGTGTGCCAGCCAGCCTTGCAAGCAACATGTTCCGCCGGACGAAAAGGTAAAGCAGTGGCAGAAAGGTTGGATGAAAGAAAGAATGGGAGAATAGGAGGATGGGAGGATGAATGAACGAATGCATGATTTGCAAATAATGCTAATAAGCTAGAAGAGAAATGCTAGTTGGCATTCATGTGCAGTTTACACTGGATTGTTATGATGATGATGATGATGATGCAAGTGATGATAGTGATGGGGAAGGTGATGGGGAAGATGATGGTGATGATGGTGCTAGTGATGGTAGTGATGGGGAAGATGATGGTGATGCAAAAGTACATATGATGATGGTAATGACAGTGCAGAAAATGATGTTGGTGAGGATGATGATGGTGATGATGGTAATAATCATGATAGTGGCAATCATGATGACAGTGATATTGATGACAGTGACAACGGTGATGATTATGGTGATGATGGTAAAGGTGGTAACATTGAATGATGCAGTGATGATGGTAATTATTATAGTGATCATAATGGTGATGATAGTGATAATGATGATAATGGTGTGATGATCACAGTGGTTTTGTTGTGATAGTGATGATGGTGATGGCAATGATGATGGTAAGGAAGGTGAACAGGTTATTGTGATGCTGCTGCTGCTGCTGATGATGATGATGATGGCGATGGTGATGATGAAGATGACAAAGATGGTGGCAATGACAGTGACAACAGCTATGATGGTGAAGATGTTGACGATGATGATGGTGACTATGAATAGTGGTTTTGTGATAGTGATGATAGTAATGATTACACTGATCATAAAGGGTGATGATGGTAATGTTAATGATGATGGCAAAGAAGATGAACAGTGATGATAATGGTGAAGATAATGATAGAATAACATTGATTGTGATGATGGTGAAGAGGATGAGAATGGTGATGATGGTGATGATGAAGGATGAAGATGACAGTGGTTTTGTCATGGTGGTAGAGATGATGGTAAAGAAGATGAAGATGAGAGTGGTTTTGTTGTGATGATAGTGATGTTATAGAAGATGATGAGAGTGATTTTGTTGTGATGATAATAGCAAAGCGATGTCTTTGTTATGATGATAACGATGGTGGTAATACAGATGGTGATGATGTAATGTTGATTTCGTTGTGATGAAAGTGATGGTAATGATGGTGATTGTGCTGATTGTGATGAAGTTGATGCTGTTGGAGATGAAAAAATGCAGTGATGTTTTCGTTGAGATTAAGATGATGGCAGTGATATTGATAATGATGATGGCAGTGATATTGATAATGTTGATGGTAATGATAATGACGATGATGATGGTAATGATAATGACAATGATGATGATGGTAATGATAATGACGATGATGATGGTAATGATAATGACAATGATGATGATGGTAATGATAATGGTGGTGATGAAGTTGTTGCTGTTGAAGATATTGATAGTGATGATCATAATGTTTTTGTTGAGATTACGAAGATGGTAATAATGATGATGATGATGCACTGCTGTTGTTGTTGTTGTTGTTGTTGTTGTCGTTTACTGTGATGTCATCTGGCTCTGTCCCCATGCGCTCTTATAGTCACCTCGCATTTTTGTCATATTGCCATGTGTGTATGGTAGTATTTGTTAGAGAGAAGGTTCAGTTTTCTGTGCCAGCTCAGTGCTTTTTAGAGAGTTATTTACGTTAGTGATTTGTGTACACACACACACACACACACACACACACACACACACACACACACACTCTGGACTCGTGCCTGTATGTGACGAGAGCACAGGGGGATACTTTCTATTTGAGTGTGTGCATGGGCGCCTGATTGTGAGTGAAAGTGGGGAAGCATGTTTTACACATTACACACATTAGTCAGCTATAATCATTCGTACATGCATGTAATTAATGATATAGGGCTGTAATGATGAAGACCAGTGCTGCTACATATAATGTCCTGTTACAAATAAGACAGTATTTCAAAATAATTAGGCTGCGTTCAGATGGCGGATGTTTTTTTGTCGCCATGGATTGAGTTGAAAAATATTCCCCTTCAGCAGAAAGGCTCGGCTCATCATGTGCCACTTTTCACAGTGTAACCAATCAAAAATGAGGGAAGGTAAAACTGAACTAGTGAGTGAATGTGGGGCAGGTTTTCACACATTTGCGATAAGAAAAGAATCTGCTTAAAGATAAATATTAATTCACTGGCGTAACTATATCCTCTGCATTGTTATGACTGAGTTTTGCTAAAAACATTGAAAATAGGTGAAGTGTGCCCCTCACCACCATAGCTTGGTGAGTAGCTTTGTGGTGTTTAAGGCACTTGCTGATGTTGCTGACGTTCACTTTGGGATTAGGTAGAATTACCTAACCTGCTGGACTTTTTACAAAGTGCAATAAGTGCTAGTTTCTTTAGGCTGTCCATTTAGTGTGATATGTGATGTGGTGCTAAACTTCCCACCCATAAAGAACTGCTCTGTTTCTCCACTTTGGAAAAGTTGTTTCTGGTTCAGACGCATTTTTTTTGTGGAATATGCTTCACCATCTGAACACGGCCTTAATCATAACTTAGATAACAAGCTATTATTTTGACATAATCATTTAAAATCTCAAGAAACTTTCTGCATTTTACTGCCATAAACACACCCACGCACACACACACACTAAGCCGCTTATCCTTCTGTGACGTGGGGGGAGCTGGAGCCTATCTCAGCAGTCATTGGGCGGAAGGCAGGATACACCCTGGACAGTATATGGATGGATAATGGATATTTTTGTACTTAACAATAAAATAAGAGTATTATTCCAATACTTACAGTATTTAAATACAACAGGCATAAAAATTCTATTAAATAAAAATGAACTAAAAATGAGACAGGTATTGTTTTAATTTCTCTGAAGGTTCCCCTTTGTGTTTGAGTGTATAAGGAAGTGGAAATGTGTGTGCGGTAGCAGATTAAAGCCACAGAGAGGAAGACAGAAAGAGTGAGAGAGCTTTTTCTATGGAGATTCTATGAAGGCTCAGATTCTGGTCTGTATATACCCTCACTGTCATAAGAGAAGGACGATTTTATTCCAGGCAATATTGGTTCATTCATCATAAAATGTTGACACAATGTAAAGGTCAACCGTTGTCAGAAGGTGCTGATGTAACAGCTACAGTGTATATAAATATGTACACTGTGTACCTACAGAGGGGAGATAAATGATGGGAAAAACCCAACATCAGGAAATAAACCTCACTCTCTCTGTTCTGCTCCCTGCAGGGCTTCTGTGTGAGTTGGTCCTGTGTGTTGGTTAGGGATTAGTGAAATTTCTGTGTAAGAGAGCGAGAGTCATAGCAGTGAATACACACAGATAATACACACACACACACACACACACACACACACACAGATATGCTTACAGAGATAATACCTTCATCCAACAACCCCCACAACCACAAGGTCTACACTAATCTCTCTCTGACACCTTCACTCTCCTATTACACTTTATTATACTTTATTATAAAGGAGGGTGACAGGTGTGTGTGTGTGTGTGTGTGTGTGTGTGTGTGTGTGTGTGTGTGAAGGCTGTGTTTGATGTTAGGTGTGGATTAGAGTATGTTTGTGAAGGATATCTTTGATGTCCATTTTGGAGGTGTTTGAATGTGTGTGTGTGTGTTGCTGTGTGCAGTTCAGTGTGTGGTGTGTGTTGCTGTGTGCAGTTCAGTGTGTGTGTGTGTTTCAGAGCTTGTTTCTCTCTTTTTCTTCTGTGTACCTTTTTTTACCTTTTAATGCAAGTCAATGTAAAGAGATTTAATTCCAAATGAATTTAGAGCATTTCTATTGGTCCATTCATAATAACATTTAAGATAAAAGACAGATGATGTGTTAAAATGATGTAGAACGGTAAAAATGGAGATACATGGTTTTCTTTGGACAGTGATGATATGTATGTATGCATATATATATATATATATATATATATATATATATATATATATATATATATATGTGTGTGTGTGTGTGTGTGTGTGTGTGTGTGTGTGTGTGTGTGTGTGTGTGTGTGTGTGTGTGTATATGTTGACCTGTATATGTTGACCTGGACTGCAACCCTAAGGAATACACACAGCGAAAATGCAACCTGTTAAGGCTACTCATGGTCAGAGTGATCTCCAGCCAGTAACACAAGTGGCTTGGGGCTCTAGTGGCAGCTCCGCCTCCAACCGATATCTATCTGTTTGTCTATCTTTGACATAATTTGAAAATGCCTGTTGACCTTTACATTGTATGTAAATTTCATGATGAATGGACCAAAAGAAACGGCCCAAAACGTCTTGGGAAAAATTCTGGTTCCATTGACTTACATTAAAAATAAAGTATGTTTTCCTTCTCCTGTAAAGTCATTATGTTGGAGAAACACACACACACACACACACACACACATATATATATACAAACATATTTACGTATGTGTTTATCACTGCTGTCAGAACAAAATCTTGCATCTTCACTTTTGTCTTAATTTTTTTACAAAATTAACATTTAAACTGTGTGGATATTTTAGGATGAATGAACCAATAGAGAGACATACAGAGAGAGAGAGAGAGAGACATCCATAAGAGACATATAGAGAGAGACAGAGAAACAGTGCGGGACATACAGAGGGAGAGAGAGAGAGAGAGAGAGAGAGAGATAGAGAGAGACACATACTGAGAGAGAGACAGACAAAGAGAGAAACACAGACATAGAGAGAGACATAAAGAGAGGCACACACAGGGAGAGAGAGAGGCAAATTGAAAGTGAATGCCTGAGGAAGTGCCTCGGCCTACATTTAAAAACAGCAGAGCGAGGTTAACTGAGACCTTTTCACTCTCCTCTCCTCCTACCTGATCTGCCTCTCTCTATTCCTCCGCCTGTGCACTCGTTTTCTCTCCCTTTTTGTGTCTGACCTCTCTGCATGAGACGATTTAGATCTACGTTCGATTGTGGTTTCAATTCCCTCCTGCCTTCACCCTCTCCACTGCTTCAAAGACAAACAGAGAGAGAGGGGGAGAGAGAAATAGAG